CTGAAGGATGTATTTGTTGCTGTTCCGAATTAAGAACCGCACCATGAAGACGTATGTTGGAGAGAAGATATAGCTCCGTTCGTTTCTTAAGCTTCGGCACAAGGTCGAGCTGAGTAGCTAGTTTCACGTTTCGTCCGTCTTGCTTCATGTAAACCCCCCCCCCCACAACCATTGGACATGAGACTGGGTGGGGCCCATAACCAGTATGGACGCTGTGGAGAAAAGAAGAATGTCTACCTCAACCGAGAATTGAACCCTTATTCCTGAGTCAATACTCCACTGTTACAGGGGGAAAATGCAAAATGTAATCTAGGTGTGTTCCTATAAAAATTGTAAATACCTCTTTATAGATATGTTAAATAAGGGTATTAGACTGCACAAGGATCCAGCATGTGACAGACTACGGAGCTGGATGACCGGGGTTCGATCCCCAACAAAGGCAAGACATTTTCACCTTTCTACACCATTCCACGCCATTCAGCCTCCTATACAATGGGTACCGGGGCTCCTTCCCCGACGGTTAAGCGGAGGGTAAATGAAGCTGACCACTCACCTCCGTCTAGTGCCGAGGTCAAGAAAGGTGGAGCTATAACTTCACTCCCTTATACGTCATCATGGTGTGGTGCTTAATTAATTAAACATAGGGACAGATTTACTTTTAATACATTGCATAATCTAAAAAAGGAGATTGGGATGGTACCCACATGACCAGTCTTCCTCCTACATCATCTGCGCATGCGTATGTGCGATGTGAATTCGTTAAGAAATAATTATGTCAAAAATATTATTTTTGGCGGAATTTGCTGTTATGGAATTTGAGTTTTCACAGCGGTGTTTATGAAGAATTTTTTTTACTTCATCAATGAAAGGTTAAATTTGTACCTGTTCTTAGTTAATTAAGAACTACACAATCAAGACGTAATGGGGAATGGAGATATAACTCCACCATGCTTGGCATCGGCACTAGGTAGATGTGAATAGTTAGCTTCACGCCCCAGCCGATTTACCCCCAGCGAAAGAGTCCCGGTACCTATTGAATAGGAGACTGTTTGGGCCCCAGAGCCGGTCTAGACGCTGTGGAGAAGTGAAAAATCTTGCACTACTGGGAATCAAACCCCGATCGTCCAGTCTGTAGCTTACCGACTGAATTATCCCGGCTACTTTTATCAGTAGCGCTGACTATATAGCGCTCAATGATTGTATGAAGGTCAAGCATGAATTAGGACGTATGAGGAAGGCTGAAAGTCGCGGCCAATTAGGTACAATCCTGCTTCGTGTTTGGGAGGTCCCGGGGTCAGACGTCGGCACGGAGAACGCCTGTCCAGACTGGAGTTTTTCATTATTTTTCTCAGTCCCTCAAGGTAAATTCCCGGATAGTACCTTACATTAGTTCACGGTCACTTCCGTCTACATCTTTCTATACGTAGTTCGTGAATCGTCTTAACATTCGACGCCAGAGCGTCGGAGCTGCTAAGAGCGTCGTGATATAAACCATGAATAATGACATGGAAGGAAGTGGTCGTAGCACACTTCGATAAAATATCCCGCCACTTGTCTGGAGGGACTAAAGACAAGCCAGAGGAGACTTGAATCAGCAGTCAGTGTCCCTACCGAGATTCGAACCAGATGCCCCCCCGAATGCATGCCAGAAATACCTCTTAAGGTTAAGTTCCTTCGTGATCTTGTCATTTTCACTTTATATCTAACAGAATGTTCATAATCGTTCAAATAAATCTTAGAGAAATAGGATGGTGTGGTATGGACTGGATTCATCTGGCTCAGGATAGGGACCAGTGGAGGATTCTTGTGAAGACTATAATGAAACTCCAGGTTCCGTAAAATGTTGGGAAATTCTTGAATAGTTGCACAACTGGCAGCGTCTCAAGAAGGGCTCAGCTCACTAGAGTTAGTTAGTTCATATTTCCGTAAGAGCTAATGTCCAGCCCCCATTGTGCAATTTATGGTTATATTTTATTATTTCCATAAGAGAGAAATTCGTAACAACAATTTCTTGAATGTACTCATATTCTCGTGTTTGTTCATGAACTTCTTTGTTGTTTCGGCAACACGTTCTACATTACGGCGCTGCGGGTAACAGCAACGCCAGGTGTAGTCACCCTCTCTTATTTGCACAAACCAAAGGCACAGTGTTTGTACAACAGAGCTTTAATTCCTGTTATAAAAGTAATTAATTGTGTACGTGTATACACACAGAGATAGGGAAACCACAGGTTGAAATTACATCATTAAATTTGTATTTATACAGTGTGTTCAATCTGGTTTTGACTTTTAACTTAGATCAAATTCACGAGGAATGTTTTCTGTTCTAAACCACTCCCAATTAACTGGAATATTTCCAATTATCAAACTACAAACGGGGAATTAAATTAAGCGCATCAGCACGACGCCATATTGAATTATATTGGCTATATTTTCAACTCTACCGCTGAAGTGCAGCCATGGACCAGGGGTACATTCATATACTCCGCTGCCGCGGTACGCTTTATGACCCGTGAGGAGTTCTATCCTAGAACCAAACAGCACAGAGCCATTTTTCAGTTTCATATATTTATTCAGGTGGATACGAACTCATTTGAGTCTTATTTTATTCTTTTCTGGGTTATTTTACGATGCAGTGAGTGACTAGACAAGTGAATCCAAGATTACTAATGTTATATTTTAGCGTCCTGTTGCACTGATTTAAGTCCATGATTTATTTGAACCGTCTTGCAGTGCATACACTCATCTATCTCCTTCTCTCACTCGCACTACATGTTTCGGCATAATAATGCCATCTTCAGGTGCTTACTCATCCACGCCAAACTAGTTCATTGCATGCCTTGTCCTCACATTAAAATAACTAAAATATATATCTATCATATATATTGACAAATGTCGAACGTTAAAAATATTAAAATTGTTCAGGATTCCACATCGCTACGTCGCNGACGTAGCGATGTGGAATCCTGAACAATTTTAATATTTTTAACGTTCGACATTTGTCAATATATATGATAGATATATATTTTAGTTATTTTAATGTGAGGACAAGGCATGCAATGAATTAGTTTGGCGTGGATGAGTAAGCACCTGAAGATGGCATTATTATGCCGAAACATGTAGTGCGAGTGAGAGAAGGAGATAGATGAGTGTATGCACTGCAAGACGGTTTAAATAAATCATGAATCCAAGATTATTTGAGTCCACGACCTTGAATTCTAAATTACATTCAATTGGTAACCAAATAATACCTAATCTGTACCCCTGAAAATCACCGTTAATTTCTAACCTAATAGAGTTACAAAACTATAATTTTGCCTGTGGTTCTGTGTGGGTGTGAAACTTGGTCTCTGACATTAAGGGAGGAATATAGACTGTGTTTGAGAACTGGGTTCTGAGGAGAATATTTGACCGAAGAGAGATGAAGTGGCAGGAGGGTGGAGAAAACTGCATTATGAGGAGCTTCGTAATGCACATAGGATGTTGGTGGGAAAGCCAGAAGGAAAGAGATCACCGGGAAGAACGAGGCGTAGGTGGGTGAACAATATTAAAATGGATCTTAGAGAGGCAAGATGGACTGTATGGATTGGATTGATATGGCTCAGGATAGGGACCATTGGAAGGCTCTTGTGAACACGGCAATGAACCTTCGGGTTCCGTAAAATGCTGGGAAGTTCTTGAGTAGCTGCACAGTTGGCAGCTTCTCAAGAAGGGCACAGCTCCATGAGTGATGATGATGATAACGTTCATCTGCTCTACGAGACAAGGTGAGTTATATCTTGTGTACGTAACTTTACGGGGAGAAAATCCCACATAAATATGTCTTAATTTTTCACCGGCTTCTGACTACTTCAATTGCTTATATACTAGATTCTAGTAACTTTCTAATGGTGATGTAATGCTCTGCCTCATTAACTGACTGTGACGCACCTTCGTTACCTCAGTAGCTTGAGGATATTAAGTGAGGCACTATGCTACAAACTGGAAGATCGCGGGTTCGATTCCTGACGAGTTCTTTAAATTTTTCAGTTGACCTAGTCCTTCCAGCCTCACTATGACCATGGGGTCGACTCAGCTTCTAACAGAAATAAGTACCAGGAATCTTCTGTGAGGGGGGGGGGGAAGGACGGCCGGCGCGTAAGGCTAACAACCTCACCGCCATCTGCGAGCCGATTGTTCGGAGAAAATGTGGGAGCCTCGACGTCTCACAGACCTATGGGTCTCCACAGCCTGCTACAGAGCTAGCTTTTTTTGTACATTATGCTCATACTTTCTACGTGCATACCTAACAATGATTTTAGGTATCAGGTTCACGTTATTAATTCGAGAGTTCACCTAGTGCCACTGGGCCCTCGGGACCCAAGTACGGGAATGATCATCCCTTGATCTACATCATATAGCGCCTAACACTATGATGATTAATGAATTGGAAAGAATCTGGAAGGAAGCGATCTTGTTTAAATGGAAGTTCGACCCAGCAATTTGCTTCGAGGGACTGAGGAAAGACACGGAAACACCCAGTAAATATAATCCTGGCCAAGACACAGACAGAGAACCACCTCTTTACCAGTCTCGGGCGTTGCCGTTTCACCAACACACCCCGGCGTGGAGGCATATCTCCAGTCATTCTTAACCTTCGACCCTAAATGAAAGTGAATGGTCAGGTTCACGCAATTGCCGCGTTACCCCCAGCGATAAATCTCACTGTACCCACTGTATAGGAGGCTGGGTGGACCCCATTTTGAAGAAAATAAAAATCACTTGCTCCTGTTGGGAATCGAATCCCGACTCCTCGGCCATCCAACCCGTAATCTAGTCCGTATACCAACTGAGCTAATCCAGCTTAACTTACATTGAATCATTTTCAGTGGTAATGCAGAAAATTACGAATGATGGCTTATGGTAACCAGTGGGAAGCACGTTTCCTACGTGTTACGGGTAACGGCAACGGCGCTGCCAGTTTAGCTGGGATCTTGACTCTGCTGTACTTGTGTTCGCAGACGAGGAGGACCTCTTCATGGTGTCAGACCTCCTGTTGGGCGGTGACCTGCGCTACCACGTGCAGCAGGAGGTAACATTCAGTGAGGACTGCGTCATGCTCTACGTGTGTGAACTGGCCCTCGCTCTAGACTACCTGCAGAGCAAGCACATTGTTCACAGGTGAGTTTCACCCTATGTAATACAGTCAAGGGCGGGACTTGTAGCACGCATGTTAGCAATGAGAAATGCATTGAAGATTCTGGGCTCCGTATCTGATTGGAAAAACTGTTTTGAGGGCGAGGCGTAGGTGAGAAGATAATATAAATATAAAATGAACGTAGGGCTCTTGGAGAGGTCATAAATGCTTATAAATGCTTAGTAGTGAGACCAGAGAGGAAGAAACCTATTGAAAGATCTAAGCTTAGATGGGAAGAAAATATTAAATTGGCGTGGAGGATTAAACTGGCTTAGGATAGGAACCTGAGATGTCCTCTTATGAATACGGCAATGAATCTTCGGGTTCCGTAAAAGGAGAAGAATTTCTTGAGTGCCTGAGAAACTATTAGCGTGTTATAGCAAGTGTCACGTAACTTCGAACAAGGCCAAGAGTAACCCTGAATGCGCAGAAGAAAAATTTCAGACAAGGGGTGGGTTCGAGGGTTTGAGAAGTGACAGGCGGCCAGTTGTTTATAAGGCACCCTCGAAGCAGGTTATACTAACGGTTTTTCTATCATCTGTTTAAAAACGTCAGTTTCTACATGTACTCCCATGACGAATCGCTAAATTCTTTTCTTCATTACATATGACTATTACATTTTAATTTTCAAAGTATAAATTAGTAATACACATAACGTGTTTTTCTTTGCATGACGAGTGACAATGTATTTATATTATTGTAAATGTTCTTCGAAAAGAGAGTAGGGTAGTTTCAATGAAACACGAGGGGTTGGTGAAAGTGGAAGAACGAGTGTTAAGAAACTCCTCCCACCACAAGCTACGCGCGGGATTTGACTAGGAATGCGGGGCCTTGTTCCAAGTTACGTGACACTGTCTATAAAACTCTGCTTCATGGAGTTGCTTAGCGTGTGTGTGTGTGTGTGTGTGTGTGTGTGTGTGCGTGCGCGCGTGCGTGCGTGTGTCAGGGAGTCAGTCCGTGGATGTATTATGGATCGCTTCGATCTGATATACATGCAACTTTTTGACCACTGCAATCAACCCTATAGAGCACAGTGGTTAGTATATACACAAGTTCGTTAGCGGTCAGAAACTCTGAGCCTTGCCCAAGCAGTGTATTTTATCTTTTCCATATAACTGGATTTTTCAACTGACCTCATCCTTCCAGCCGCATTATGATCCTCGGGTCGACTCAGAAATGAGTACCAGGAATCTTCCTGGAGTTAAAGGGCGGTCGGCGCGTAAGACTGACAACCTCATCGCCATATGTGAGTCGATTGTCTAAAAAATGTGGAAACCTTGATATGTCACAACCCTATGGGTCTCCACGGCCTGTTACTGGGAGAGCTTTAGCTTACCTCAGCGCCATCTGTGAGCCGATTGTCTAGATAATGTGGGAGCCTCGACGTCTCACAACCCTATGGGCCTCCACGGTCTGTTACAGGGATAGATTTACCTTACCTCACCGCCATCTGTGGGCCGATTATCTAGAAATGTGGGAGCTTCGACGTCTCACAACTCTATGAGCCTTCACGGCCTATTACAGGGATAGCTTTACCTTACCTCACCGCCATCTGTTCGCCGATTGTCTAGATAATGTGGGAGCTTCGACGTCTCACAACTCTATGGGCATCCACGGCCTGTTACAGGGATAGTTTTACTTTTCCTTTTCTGTCTCCCTACAGAGCAGTGAACGACTGGTCTTTGCAATAGCGCCGCAGTTTATTTCCTGTGAGACGAAATCTTAATTCTATGTATTACGTTGATAAATACCAATCATAGTGATTGCGTGGTCTAACACACGAATATCCTATAAACTGTTTGTGAGGCTCGCAGTTTAAAATTAATTCTGAATGGGAACATGTCAGAGGGCCTAATCTGTCAACAAGAATAATAAGAATAATTAGATTAATTTAAAGGCTGCAAACCTTCTAACAAATGGTGAACTTTTCCTCCCATAAAATTAAGTGTATCTCTCACTTCCTCATTATTCTCCTTTCACTTTCCCCTCTACATGTTCTCGTTTAACTGTCTCACTTCTTCAGGCGTCGCAAGGTTGAATCTGTCTCTCTTCGTCCCGTTTGGATTTCCACCGAGAGTACCCTATCTCCTTGCCAGCATAAACTGCACAGTGTTACTGTGGTTATATCCCGGGGCATTAAAGGCGGGAAGCTGAAACGCGCGCTTTCATTTTCAGCTGTAATAAAATTCGGCGTCGCAAGTAGAAGCAAGGGATCAGAGTGGCAGTAAAGATTATATCCTGCTGAGATGAGTAGGGGCAGATGTATGGAATGGAAGGAAGTAACCGCATATTTCACCAACTGCCGTGTTCCACTCCGGACCCATGCTTCACATAGTGAGCTGTACCGCCCCGTGTGGTGCGCTAAGAGGCAAAGGGGCGGCAGGGGGTGCTAGAAATGGGCCCCTCCGAGAGTGTTGTTCTCTTATTAACGATTGAAGTGACTTTATACCAGACATTGGGAAACATGTATCACTTCATCAAGCCTATTCATCGCATCAAGAATTTACTAACAGCGAAGTAGTTACTAAATGCGTTATCTTGCTTTTTTGTTATTATATCCCTTAGTGAGTTGCGCAAACCACTGTGTTGGAGAATGCTTTTTATAGGTTAGGGCAAGGGGTACTGGTTACGAGTTTATGGTAACAAGGGGTCAGTGGCCCGAAAATTTCTGCTAACCTCTGCTCTAGACTAGCGTTTCAGAACTCTTTCAGTTATTGCACTCCTTCCTCTTTGACTGAAACTTCATACTGTCACGTGTATGAGTTGCTATAGACAGGGTTTTTTATTTGTATTTGAATTTATTGAACTCTTACGTAATGTAACTACAAAGAACTATAGCGCTATCGCTAATTCACACACTCCACAATTCACTATTGCTCGCACTAAGTTCTTTCAGTCTGCTGTTGTCACCAGTCGTTGTCTGGTGACGTTTTCCAACGCCGTGTTTGCCCCCTCCCCTTACTGGCCGACTACTCTCTCCGAACTAACTAAATTCTTGACTTGACATGCTTATAAAAAAAAACCGACACGGACCTCATAGTAAATACCACTTTCAACAGTTTTTCTGTTTTTGCGTCACGCAGCTGTCGCAAGGACCGCTTACAGAACACCTATTCCCAGTTAGTCTGTTGGTGCGATTTAGGAATCTGTTGCCTAGCAACGGGCGTTGTTTACAGAGTCGTTACTTAGAAACGGGTCTATATGTTACAATATGAAGAATTACCTATCCCTCGGCAAACTTCATGTTTTCGAACTGCTTGTTGCCCTGCAATCCAAACATTGGATACCAAGATTTCTTCATTTCGAACAGCGCATATTTATTCCATGCCCAGAGAAGGTTGTGCAAAAGATAGTTGTAGAGGCTCTTTTGATCTTTGTTTGATGGCGTATGAAATATATGTGATATAACCCCTGAGGATACATGTAACCTCGGCTTAGAACCGTTTTTCCAGACGACAAAACTCCTAAGGGTCACTTTCACCTTGGCATGAAGAAATTTCAACCTTATGATGCGTTGCTAAAAAGGACCACGTTTGAAGTTGGGGTGGCATGAAATCTGTACAGTTTCTCCTGAAAATCCGTCACTTGGTTCAGATAGTAAGTCAGAGAATACACAAATGGATGGTATAGGTAAAAAAGGTAAATTTGTTCTTGTGCTTCATTCATTACTCGCCACACAATAAAGACGTATGTGAGAGTGAAGATATAGCCCCATCATTCTTGATCTCAGCCCTGTCTTCCAGCCTGTAGCTTACTGACTGCGCTTTCTCGGCTTTTGACAAATTGATGGATACACTCATGTAATACAGTAAGCATGTCTTATATATAGTATAATAGGAGAATATTTGGATCGAAGAGAGATGAAGTGAGAGGAGGTTGGAGAAAACTGCATAACGAGGAGCTTCATTACTTGTACTCTTCTCCAAGTGTAATTAGAATGATCAAGTCAAGGAGGACGAGGTGGACACGGCATGTAGCATGAATGGGGGAGAAAAAGAATGCAAATTGGATATTGGTGGGAAAGCCAGAAGGAAAGATACCACTGGGAAGACCAATGCGTATTGGGGGTGGACATTATTAAAATGGATCTTAGAGAGATAGGATGGGATGATATGGACTGGATTGATCTGGCTCAGGATAGGGACCAGTGGAAGACTCATGTGAACACGGTAATGAACCTCCGGTTTCCTTGGAATGTTGGGAAGTCCTTGAATAGCTGCAGATTTGGCGGCTCCTCAATTCCTCCTTCTAATATTGTCCACCCATCCACACCTTGGTCTTCCCAGTGGTCTCTTTCCTTCTGGCTTTCCCACCAATATCCTATATGCATTCCTCGTCTCCCCCATTCGTGCTACATGACCTGCCGACCTCATCCTCCTTGACTTGATCATTCTAATTATACTTGGAGAAGAGTACAAGTTATGAAGCTCCTCATTATGCAGTTTTCTCCAAACTCCTGTCACTTCATCTCTCTTCGGTCCAAATATTCTCCTCAACACCCTGTTCTCAAACATCCTCAGTCTATGTTCCTCCCTTAATGTCAAAGACCAAGTTTCACGCCCATACAGAACCACAGGCAAAATTACAGTTTTGTATACTCTAATTTTTATGTTTTTGGACAGCAAACGAGAAGACAAAGATTCTGGACTGAATGGTAGCAAGCATTACCCTAGTTCAATCGCCTCTCAATTTCCTCCTGGATCAGGTTTCGATCTGTATATTATATTTTATTATATTATATTGAGGAGTGGGGACTAAAACACCTAACAATAAGTTCAATGTTAGACGGCTTCAAATTGCTCACTGCAACTTCTACATTTCCCCTTTAAATTCCCCTATCTGCTTTAGGCGTCAGTATAATCAACTTCCATGGCATTACTAGGAAATTGAAAACGTGTTTCGCTTTGCATTATGGAATGAAGCGATCCGCAGCGCGCTCAGTAGGGGCATATTAAACGTCCACCAAATGCAAAGCGCTTGTTTC